AACGGCGGTCTTGAACAACCCACGATGATGACATCTGGCCTTTTTGGGCACACCAGTTTGGCAGCGCACTGTTCTATGCTCAATCCGCAGCGACCAGTTCCTTGTTCCTTCAACCAACTCCACTTAATTTGTCCGGGATATGCGTGCTCACTTGAACACGTGACTTCTTGGTTCCGCAAACGCACAAATCACGTGGCAAACCCAGACCAACAGGTCAGTTCCCGTGTTGTACGCGTCGAAACAATTTTATGTATTATACCCGCGTCAAGGCTTCCTATGTATATGAAGCGGCAACTCAGTCACTACGCATACGCGCGCGTGAAGAGGACTGGATGTGAACCACACTTCACAAGTCCAGGGACCATTGCGGAACACATGTAGCAGCTCTACTGTGGAGGAAACAAGTTCCCCTGTCCGGACTTTCCCTCAGGAACTCTCAAAATCGATAAGTTTCCCTTCTGACTTACTGCACATTTCGGATTGCACTATACACGGTGCAACTCACCACTGTAAACTGCTGCCGGGCCATAGTAAAAACTGTTGTCAGTGCATATACCTTCTGAGTTATATTCTGGCTATCATCAAACGTGTACCAATGGGTCAGACGTGACAAACAACCGACGCGTTTAGCCTAACAGTCGACCCTTTCTCTTACGTTTATCATCGCTTCTTTCACACTGTGGTTCCGTGCAACCGTTTCGCCATGCCAAATTCTCCAGTGGAAGAGAAACTTTCAACAGCCGTTGCATCAACAAGCAATAACGATGCCGTCATCATTTTGGCCCCACTTCATGCATCCGTTCGCGTTCCAGCAGCAATCCGCTGTGGCTGGTAGTACAGTGCCGGTCGCGGTTAGAGAACACGAATTTGAGCTGTACTTGGAGAGAATCTTTTCGCTCGGAAATTTTAACAAGAATAGCAACCTGATTTCAGTAAATTTCTTCGCTCGATTCCATCGGTGCTGAGTTATTGATATTGATATATTTGATATTGATATACTTACATCTCAGTGGCCTAGTTGTGTGGTTGAACTTGAATTTGGTCAAAACATCAGAATTATATGACTTCCAGGTAAGTTGCAATATACTGCGTTGGGCCGTAATCCCATGAGTGTCTGAAAACCGTTGAGTTGTACGGGACTTATGTGGTAAAGAACAGTGTCAGTGGATTAATCCTGAAACCTACGTTAAACCAGGCGTCGTTAGGTGATGTGATACTCAGTTGGATGTTTTTTGATGACTCTTGGAATACACTCGTTTGCAGACTGACTTGTTTTTTATCGAGGAATTCAAATTGGCTGCAGTTGAGTCACTTGTTTGCGACATTCCCCAACCTGTTGCACAAGGGTCGCCGGGTGTTGCGGCATACACGATATTCGAGGAGCGAGATGGTTCAAGTGGTGAGAGCGCGAATTCACTGACCGGAAGGTCGGTGTTTCGAACCCGACCTCTACCTTTCGACTACCCCTGTCTAGGCTTGGGCAACCTGGCAGTATCCCAGCCCTCGTGCTTCCTTCGGGTGGCATGGCAGCTAGGCACCGAAAGGGTGTTACAGCTGAATAATTATTGATTATTATTTATACAGTATATTTTCTTGTTGTTACGCACTACTAATGTGTTTGGTGGAGTCCTTGATCAGCCCGCGACCGTTTCTGGCTTTCTTTGAATGCACCAAGCCCACCGCTTTTCTACCGACTCTGTCCTCTAATAGAACGGAATTTTTAAGCGCTTTATTAAACGCCTTTGCCTGGGGACTCACCAAATTCCAGAGAGCCCCTGTATCCTCTCATGGATCGTCAATAGTGACCGGACGTCTACGGTTTCTCGTTGAACCGATTTCAACACCCTGCACACACTCGATGCAAGTTTACCTGTTGGCTTCACCCAAGGCTCAGAGCCTGCATGAAGGGTTGTATGATGGACAGACTGAGCACGGCGTGTAGAAAAATTGGACAGCTCATATGGGGCTGTGATACAAGAACAGATCTTGTGCCATTCTGTTTGTTTTGACCCACGGAGCACAACATGGTTCTTACTAACGATCGGACATCCACAAGCCTCCCGACAAACTGATCAGATTCACTGGTCCGACAAGAGTGTGTAACTGTAGCAGGCCGTCTAACCCCCTGCCCAAATCATACTTTTTCTCCCATCACACTTCCTTTCAGTCTGGCTGCGATGATCTATCGATTTTCCAGGTTTGACTGTTTCATACCCCAAACCGTGTGTCAGTTTGAGTGGCATAGCTAGACTGGCAAAGGAGCTAGGATCACTCATAGATGCATACCTCAATTTGATTGGTTCACGAATTAGTCGATGCACCCTCGCAGAGTTTTGGTGCATACAGGAAATTTTAAATTTTAAAAGTAAAATGTAGGCATGCAGAAAGTGTCACTAAAACCGCAACAAATAGTGTATGCCCCTGAGATAACATCAAGTTCAAATCGAGTTGGAATTGACTCTGTGTGAAACTGAACCCCAAAATGCTGGTCACGGTGTTTAGACTAGCGAGCGATCTCCACTCAAATTCAATGAATCATTCATTTAAAATAATAAATGACCCAAAGTCATGGTGGGATAGAAAGATTTGGCATGATGAATGACACTGAGGGGAAATTAATCTCAGTATTTGCTTGAATGAACACTGCTTATATGGTTGATGAGCACTCTCCGAGAGCCCAAGACAGTTTTCACCATTCTAGAGGCGGATTAGGTAGGCGTAGCGCGCAAAATTTGCTCCAATTCAAATCGAACGTAACTTGTGAATTACCTCCATTTGCACGCTAACTTGTTTTCAACTAGAGACCTAACCAAATCCTAGGTGAATCTCTCTTGTGGGTATATTTAGGCCGGAATACTACCAGAACGGTTTTGCCCTCCTTTGTGGCCTCAGCTAGGCCCGAGGTTCTCATCAGTCAAACTTATGTTCTTGTTAGGCGGAATTCCACACGGATCCCGATTTACCGCTCGCACTCAGGTGCTGCTACGTCCGAGAAGTCCATCCCACGCAAGATTGGCCAAGAATTCGGGACGCTTGCCGGTCCGGCATCAAGCCGAGATCTGATTGGTCGAAAGTCTGGACCCAACAGCCAATCGTGGCTCAGTATTGGCCGAATGCCGGTAGCCAATGGCGCATCCAGAACGCTTCAGAATTTCCAGAGAGTTATTGCCGCCTACGCTATATATATGAAGCGCTGTACATATGTTCCTGACTTCGTTTGGGGCATTAATGTACCTTGCGCACCTTTGGTGGTTGTTTTGACGTGAAAGCCAAATTGGGAGGCTCAGACCGAGAAGTGAGCTGAGAAACATACCGTTACTGCAGTTCCTTTCGAACCCAAATGGTACAAAGTTTGTAAAATGCACTCATTTGCACATCAATTCGGTTTTAACGGGAACCTCAACTGAATAGCTCGTTTACGCTATTTGTCAACCGATTGCGAAAGGTGGACTTTGTTTTTTGTTTTTAATTCAGATAGTTTAACTAGGTTGAGTACATTTCAGGCGGTTGTAATGTCACTGGTTCGTTATCTTCACTACTAAAATAGTCAAAAAAGTGTTTAGGAGGGTTTTTGGTCCCCATAAGAATGGGAAATGCTATATAAATCCATTCCAAGCCACAAGTTTCAATGAAGTGACCTGGAGAGCAGTCTTAAAAACACTCGGTAGGCGCCTCATTCATTTCCACTTCTGCGGATCTCAAAAGACCACAATTTGGAATCCTAAACTGCGCCTCAAGACGAAAAGGAAAAAGTCAAAAGTAAGACTCGAGCCCATGATTTATTACACGCCGAGAATTGCCGCACTGTATGAAGTTCCGCGGCGCGAGCTTGCATCAAACATAGTCATCTGTAATCCACACCTCGGCCCAGGTCTGTCTACATCACTAGTGATGCTCTTGTGTAGCTTTCAGCGCAGGTTTCGTCCTGTAACGACGAAAAGCCGAGAAGCACTGCATGCCTGTTTCATCCATATTAGGAATCATCATCAGCAGTGCGCCTCTTACGAAACTACAGTTTCATGAGGGACCGATGAGCAGCGTGACTAACTCTCGCTTAGACAGGATTTGGCGCCGTTCGTCCTTCGATCCTAGAATTCGTGATCCTACAGATCGAAATCTCCTGGAGAATTCCCGGAGCTTTGTGCGTATCTATTGACTTTCGTAAATCTCAAGTCTGCTGACTTACCCTGCTGGCTTGTTTTCAACCTCCAGTTACCTTAGCTGGTTTAATCATTTAAGGTACTGGCCGACAACCTAAACAGGTCTGGTTGTCTGTCACCCTCTCTGGGATTGGCCACACATGACTGAAGACACAAACGTAGGGTCTGGAAAAGCAGTTCATATGTTCACCGGACACAAATGTCCTTCATTTGTGTCCTCTAATCTCTCCGTATCTGAGCCTGTGCACAAAAGAATACTTCTTTTCACATCAAGATGCCGTGCAACATGCTGCCTTCAATCGATTTTTCCATATCAAATTACCCTGGTTCTTTGGCATATCTGAGTGAGTGTCATGAATTTTGTTTTAATCAATGTTGCCGTCATGGGAATGTGCACCATTTTCGCATTCGTTGAGCAGGAATAGAAGATGAACACCTTCATTTGCAGTACATTCTCTAAATGCAATATACTACTCATGAGTTTGCTGAAACCTCCTCGACAGCCCATGACCTGTTTCGGCCTTCTTGGGGCTCATCAGGTAGGCACAATCACCGAATTTCCGTCAACCTCATGTCTACTTGAACTAAAACCGGACGGATTTTGAGAATTAGCCTCATTCTCCTACGAATGTGGTTTTTACGGGGGATTCAAATGAATCCAGCTGAGGCTCTTTTTACGCTTGGGAAATGGGGTGTATCTATGAAGATGAATCCACCCGATAAGCAAGGGGCTTTTGGGAGAGTCTGAAATGACTCAGCAGGATAGGTGTAAAGACGGATTTGTGTAACAAACTTGTTACAGTCCATGCAACAGTGGTGCCTCAACCTTGGTAAACTCAAATGGGAACAGGACGCATGTCAAACCTACCCATTTCGTTCCCCGTCGCCAATGAACGGTTTATTGCCAGAGGTATGTATAGATATACGAGATAAGTGAATTGTTGGTACTGTGAGGACATTTGGGATTTTTGTAGAGATTTCTTCCTGTAATTGAAGCCAATCTATGCTGAAAAACCGAGAAGCACTGTACAGCTGTTTCATCCTTATTGGGAATCACCAGCAATGCCCACCCCACGAAACTCCGGCGAGTCTTGAACCCGTTTGAACACTTAACTGTTCGGCCAGGGGCGGTTCTGGAGATTTCATCCACACGTGTGACAACACGTGTCATCAACACGTGTGACCGCGTGATGCGGATCCCGTGATTGAAGGATGAGCGGCGCTATATCCTGTCTAAGTGAGAGTTAATCACACTGCTGATCAGCCGCTCTTGGCCAAAAGGTTAGACGTTCGGAACACTAGCCAGAAGGTTCGAGAGTCTTCGGAGATTCGTAAGATGTGCACTGCTGATGATTCCCAATAAGGATGAAACAGCTGTACGGTGCTTCTCGGCTTTTCAACATAGATTGGCTTCACTTGCAGGACGAAATCTTCACTGAATTAGGTGAAGTCAAGCACAGCCTATGGTTCCAATTTTCCATCACTCTGGTCTTCCAACCACTTGATAACACCTCCGATAATTCGTTCCACCTTTTCCACCGGAGACTTTGACCTGTAAGTGAGGCCGGTCCATCCTGAAAGACCATAGAGTAATGTGATTAGATCGTACTCAGACTTCAATCACAGGATCCATGTCACGTGGTCAGACGTGTTGATCGGCTATGTCCACCAACTGCAAATTTACTTTCGGTATCGTTGATAGTATTGTACAGCTTTGTACTGAAGCAGGAGCCCGGATAAACTATCGGTAGACTAGACGTTACAAACACTACTCACACACGCTACTCATATTCGTAAACAATCGAGAGTACTTGCCAATATCCGAAGACAACTTTAGATACGGTATAAAGCTGACAGGAGAGAAAGATGACTTCTCTTTCCTTTTGTGGACTAATAGCCATGTTTCTCAGGGTACTACTGCCACTTTTTATCATTTCATCTTAGGGGAATGCCTGTTTATGGGTTGTTCATCTGAAGCAAATACACTGACATTGTGGGGATCGGCTGTACTTTTCACGTGACTGTACCGATAACCTTTATTTAATGGGGTTTTGAGTGGTACCGCGCGCACTCTCCTGGAATCTAGC